ATCAGTTTGTGGAACAATCAACTGAAAGAAACCAAGTTTGATCACTTACCGACGAGACCCACCGGTACATCTTGTGCATTTCGCCCCCTAAACTGCAAACACCCTCTGAGTCAACAAATAAACATACAAAAAGAATAAAATACAAATTAAAAAAAAAAAAAAAATCCTCAAATTACACAAAACCAACCCTACAAAAGCACCAAATCAATCATTTCATCTTAAATCACAACAAGGAACACAAGCCCATAAACCAACCCAAATTATATCATTATATCAATCAACATACAGATTCAAGGGATAATATTTACATACATAAAATTAATTTTTTTTAAAAAAAAAAATAAAAAAAAATAACCAAAGAAGACAGAAAAATCACGTTTTATCCAGCCGGATAAGAAACATCATGAGACGAACAACATCAATCTCCCGCATACGCAATCCGGGAAATAACCTAACATAGGATGGGGGTAAAGACGATAGGTTGCTTGAACCAGATGGAATCATGGCCCCTTTATTAGCTCTTGCCACAGAACATAAAGAATAAGAACAGGCAAAAAAATTAAGCAAATTGTATTAAGTAAAAAAAAAAAAAAAAAAAACTCCATAAATAAAATCTGACAAGAGAAGAAGATGCGTGTGAGTTTTTACCCGCCAATTTGTGCTCGCTTGGAGGGGCATTAGCAATGCATGACTGCAATTTGTGGGGTTTTGGATATGTGTGTGAGAGAGAGACGGAGAGTGGAACTCGAAGAAAGGTAACCGAACCGATACCATTAAACCGATACTGAACCGAAGACGTTCGGTTTCACTAATATGCAAACCGAAACCGAACCGATAAAAATTCGGTTACCGTACCGAAAAAACTGAAAAAATCCTATAAAGTGCAGCAGCAACAAGCAGCAACAGCAAAGTTGAGCTCAATTCTGTGAAGTAAATTACAACCCTTCTCAAACTAATGCCAGATCATAGACTTGTTGTGGAAAAAAGAGGACCATGTAAGCTTATGCTTGAAACAGAATGATAAAACTCATCTGCAAAGTGCTAATGAAACTCACAACACAAAAATAGAAAAACCAAATACATTACCTTTCGTGCACGGCTGACGGCGAAGGTGTGAGTCGGTGAAGGTGAGGTGAATGGAGGCGATCTGAATTCTAAATTGAAGAAGGAGGCCTGAAGTGAAGGTGAGGTTGAACGGTCGACGGCTCTAGGCAAGCAAAAACAAGCACAACCTCCTAAATTTCTGAATTGAACTCGCAGCCCTCCATTATGAAGATGACGGGCCGTAGCGCTAGTGCAAGCAGAAAGAAAACTACGGCCCCTAAATCCTAATGACCTAAACTAATCCGCAACCTTTTCTTTTTAATAAAAAAAATAAAAAACAAAAAAAAAAAAA